AAAAAGGAAAAGAGGAAGAAATTGATGGTCCTTCCCTGAAGGGCTCAGGGCCAAATTGGACACGGTCCATCATTAAAAAACAAGAACCTAGAATTGATACCCAAGTCCTAGAATCTGAACCTCCTGGTAAGGCTGCTGCCCGCCTGCCAGCACCCACAGCACCCCAGAAGATGCCTCGTCCATGCCAGTGGACTACCCCCATTGTGCAGGTGAGGAACGGCAGCCTCGGGCAAGGAGAGTGATATGCCCAAGGTCTCCAGGTCAACAGCGTGGCTAGGCAAGGACCGGGTCTCCAGCTGGCCCTGCCCCCTGCCCGGAATCCCTCCCAGTGGCCACACCCGGTGGTGAGGGGTTGGAACGGGGCGCCCTGGGTGTACCAGAGATGAGAGGACGGAGGCTGCGTGCCAGATCTCCTCCTCTGAGGACCTCAGCGCCGCGGCAAGATCGGCCAGCTGGACACAGGGCTTCTCGGCGCTGGCCTGGGAGCAGCGGGCCCTGCTGCTCAGCTCCTGCAGCTGCTCCCGGGCTGTCTTCAGCGAGCCTTCAAGGCCCCACATCTGCTCCACGAAGGCTTCCCGGGACGCTGCAGGAAAACCACAGCCTGGAGGTCGCAGAGAGCTCTTGATATCACTCCACCCCATCTCCCACCCTCCCTTCCAGAAACGCCCCAGCTGTGCCCACTACCCTCCCTCAGGCACAGCTTCACCCCACCACCAACCCTGAGCACTTCAAGGTCAAGAGCCAAGGCCTCCCCGTGTGACAGATGCAGAGGCGAAGGCCAGAGCAGGCAAGTCATCCAGTCCATGGCCCATCGCCAGTCAGTCTCAGACAAAGGACTCGGAGGGAGCCCGGCTTCTGGGGTCACTGCAAGCCAACCTTCAAAGGGGGCACAGCAGGAAAATTCAGCATCCAGTACCTGGCTCACCTGGCTCACGGCTGAGCATTTTAGAGAGCGGCAGGCATCCCAGAGCTCCCTGCTTGGAAGCTATTCTTGCTACCAGGGGCTCAGCTCAGCCCGACTGGCTGTTAAGGGAGTACCCTTCCCACCACTCACCTGTGAATTCTGACTCATCACCACCTTCTCCAGGTGCTCCCAAGTGAAGACGCCATTAAAGAACCATTTCGTTTTGTGTGCCTCTAAATCTCAGCTCCCCAGGGCGAAATTCCAGCCCCTTGGCTTCCATTATAGTTCTCTTGTCATTTTAAAAGATTATTTAATCATTTATTTTGGACATGTGAAACATGGGGGGGCGTAAGGGAGAGATATGCTAATGAGCCAAAGAGCCAAGGAACCAGGCCTGGGACAAGTCCCTGTTCAATACCTGGGTCAGAGCCTCGACAATCATTCACTGGACAAGCAAATACGTGAACGGACTACGCTCCTGCTTGGCCCAACTGGGTTTATACTCTACTTGGATAGGCGGGCTTGGGGATAGACGCTACCGTCCAGAACCAGCACTCACAAAATTACGAGTGCTGCCGGGCTAGGGACATGCGAGAGAGGCCCAATGGAGCAACAGGTCTGTACCATTGGAGGGTCCACTAGCCAGGGGGGAGAGGCCAGCTTCCCAAGCAAGCAGGCCATCCAAAGAGCCCAGGGCCCTCAGAGCATCTGAGCCAGAGAAGACAAGAGTTCCCTGGGGGTAGTCTGGGCAGCCAGCCTCCTGGTCTTCCGTCCACTCTCCCATCATACCTTGCAATGAGTAATAGTCCTGGTAGACATCTCCCCGGGGGGCCTCTCCTTGCAGAACATCTAGTGGTTCCCAGGGGGTGCCACAGCCAGACCCCCGCAGCCACCCCTCCATCAAGGTCAGTCTGGCCTTCAGCTTGGCAGCCTGGAGGGGACAGGGAGGGAAGGGCGTGTGAGGTTAGGGGTCTGGAAGCCCTGCCTGGACTGTCCCTTCTTTCTTGAGGAGTCAAGCTCCTGGTTGTCAGTGAAGGAAAGAGAGGTGGGGTTCATCCTCCCAGCTAAAGGCCTTCAGAGCAAACCCCATGGACTTCTGCCTCCAGCCTGTAGCAAAGATGCTGTGGATGGAATAAAAATCTGCATGAGATTCCTAGCCTTTTGCATGAGATCCTCGTTAGAAACAAACAAAAAAACCCACTGCCTCCGGTGGATTCCTACTCATAGGGACTCTATACCATTTCAGAGGATCTGCCAACCTCCACAGGAGCAAACAGTCTCGTGTTTCTACCTTAGCGTGGCTGGTGGGTTTGAACCGTTGGCTTTTTGGTTAGCAGGATAATGCTTTCCCAGAAGAGCCACCAGGGCTCCCTATTTAGAAACAGAAATAGAGGTTTTTTCTTCTGTCATGTTAACGAGGACATCCCAGTGTAGGGTGGACCCTAAACCTAATCACTTCTGAGTCATCAGAAGACACACACTCCCACACAAGTGGGGAGACAGCTGCATATGAGGACCCTTTACAAGCAAAGGGGTGCCAAGGCTGGCCAGCAGTCACGAGAGATGAGGGCAGGGGCCCATAGAAGGACATCACACACCTGGGACCCTGACTTGGCCATGGAGCTTCCAGAAGGGTGAGAAGACCTGTCGTGGAAGCGCGGGAGCTGCAGCATTAAGACACTAGACAGGAGACAGCTCGCTGGCATTTCCAGTCTGCTGCTCGAGCTACAGATTCTGAACTTGGCAGCCCCCACAATGGTTTCACAAACTCCCTCAAACCAAACTCTCTCTATATATTCAGGGTGAACATGGACATACATCTGTGTGCACATGTACAAACGCACAGATGTACATGCATGGTATATATATGTATCCATGGGCACATGTGTGTGTACATACATACATGCCCAGGGGGGCTTCACAAAGTTTGTGGACAAATGGAACATTTCATATATAAATGACAGACGAGGCTGTCTGTTCCCTTACGGTCTCAGAAACCCTGGATGGACCAGCAGCGCTGCTGGTGCATGCTGGCCTGCTCGTGGCCAGGCTGGGTCAAACCCCCCAGCTGTGCCTGAGTCAAACCCCGCAGCTGTGCCGGGAGAGAACAGTGAGGCTGTCTGTTCCCATAAAGAGTTAACAGCGTCAGAAACCCTCTATCGGTCCTATGAGCCAGAATCAATTTGATGGCAGTGAGTTTTGTTCTGTTTTTCTTGATGCATACATGCTGCTGGTTCTGTTTCCCCGGAGAACCCTGACAAACACAGGCTGTTATAATCGGATCTTTCTACAATTCCGTACACCGGAGTTCCCCAACACACTCAGGCCACCAGTACTCTTACCAGCTCTGTTTTGGGCAGTATTACCAGAGGTGGCAGACACATGGCAGCTTACCAAGGCCATCAGAGGCAAGCGGGGTAATTCAGAGGTAGCACCTGGGTCCCAATACCACACCTCGCCCCAGCTCACCCTCCTCCGGCTCCTCCCCAAGAAGAAGACCCTGTCGATAGTGGGGATCCCACTGAACCCAAGGACACTGGAGAGGCAGGCCCACTTTGACAGGGGGTAGGGCACATGACCAGACCTGCCTTTCCCTGCCCACCCAGGGACAGGGGCATGGGCAGAGCCGAGTGAGAAGGTGGGGTGGGCACAGAGTTGGCATCTACTCGGCGCTCTGTAAGTGGGAAGGTGGTGCTGGCTGGGCCTGGGCAGAGGGGAGGCATCAGGGGGCTCACCTCCTCCTTCACCAGCGAGTAGCAGGGTGGGCACTCCTGGCAGTGCAGGCTGCCGCTCCCGAGAAAGAAGTTGTCCTGGCAGTGGTCGCACTTGTAGCCCACGAAGCCGGGCCTGCACACACACGTGCTGTTCTCGTGGCACTGTGCGGAGGCTGAGCCCAGCGGGGAGCACCTGCAGGCTGGGGGGACGACACAGCAGAGGGCACTGGGTGCCCTGAACTCTACAGAGGTCCAACCGGCGCCCTCGGAGTCCTCTCTGTATCCTCTACATCCTTACACCTGGCTGCTCCCCAGGACCCCGGGGCAGCTTCAAAGACAGATTCTTGGGGCTCTTCTCTACACACCACCCCCCAGTTCTGAAGGTCGAGGTGAGGACATTTGAAGAATGGAAACGCTCCCCACAGTGGGGATTCAGACACTGCCAGCTCAGGCCCACTGTCCAGACCCTGCACATGCGCAGCTGCAGGTCCCAGAGCCGGCAGGATGGCTGGGCGCAGGTGGGCCCTGCTGCTGCCCTTCCCAGGCCGCCGACCTCCCTTCCTGCTGAGATCCACCCGACCAAACCTCCTCCCCTCAGTGCTCAGCCCAGACTCCTTGGGCTCCACTCTCCCTCCCGGCCTTGGGACCTCCTTACCCCGGCAGCCCTTGGCGGAGAAGCCGAAGAAACCCTGCTGGCACCTGTCACAGGCCCGGCCTGCAACGCCTGGGCGGCAGGGGCACTGCCCAGTCTTGGGGTGGCACTGGTCCTGGTGGGAGCCAAGCAGGTAGCACCTGCAGCTGTGAGGAGGGAGGCAGAGGGACAAGGAAGCTCATCAAGTGGGCCAGGGTCTGAGCCCAGCCTTGACACCACCAGACCTTCTGTTGAAGGGGCCCCATTTGAAGACAGCTGGTGGGGGTTGGGGTCCCCCAGGTTTTGTGGAGGAAAGCTTCCTGAAGGCTGCAAGTGCCCCTCTGTGGGAGGGTCCCGGTGCAGTGAGCATAGTGAAGCTCTGCACGGTTACTCAGCCAGTCCTTGGATTGTCCACTGTCTCTAAAGAGTCGTCTAAGTGCTGCTGTGGACAAAAGCCAGTCCAGCGACGATCCCTACTGAGAAGGGAGTTGGAGACCAAACCGGACACCTGCCCACCGGAACATGCCTTAGGGCTGCTCTTGGCTGTAATCCTGGGCTGCCAGGGCGGTGACTCTGACCCCAAGGGACTGTCCCTTTGTCCCCCTGTGGAGAAGGGCACAGTGTACCTGGCTTTGGGCCTAGGATGACACATTCCTCATTGGGCCCCTCCCTGGAGGCTACCTGGCTCTTTTTAGCCTCGAAGACACCCAGGTGCAGGGGGCCCATCACACCCCCATCCCCCACCATCACCACCTACCTCTGGCAGCCCCTTCCAGGCTGGAGGTTGTAGAAGCCAGGGCGGCAGCGGCCACAGTCCCTTCCGGTCACATGAGGCAGGCAAGGGCATTGACCGGTCACTGGATCACAGGGGGTCTTCTCACGGACTGAGCCCTCAGGAGTACAAGCACAGGCTGGTGGGGCAGGAAGGAGTTGTGCCAGAAGGCACCATTAATTGAACCTTTGGGGTCCCGTGGAGGCAGAGGGGCTGGGGGAGCCCACAGAGGTGCCTCCCACCCAGCCCAGCTGCTCAGCCCTTTCAGGAAGAAGGTCGGAGGGTAGAGTTCACATCTCAGCCCATTTGCTATGTCCTTGAAGAGGCAGCCCAGAATGGCAGCCCAGAATGGCAGCTGGTCATTCAGGTGGGAGAGAAGGCCCAAGATTCCCAGCGCCCACCTCGCCCTCTGCCTTGGCTCTGACAGAGGTCACAGGTGGACCCTCTGCAGCCACTCCTTTGGATCCTCTGAGGCAAGGGCAGCTTGTGGGTCTGAGTTCTGGACAGGGCTGCCTACAGGGGTCAGTTGGCAGCTGACAGGTGTTATGCAACAGATGGGACCCTGGAGCAAATTCATTTGGGACAAAGGCTGGTGGTCTGTCCTGCAGGGCTTCTGCCAGCCTTCTCCAGACGGGGTGCTGTGGCTTTGAGAGGGGGTGCAGGCTGAGCAGTAAACCAGAGGGGGAGGGGAGAGGAAGCGCATACTTGGGTGGAGGTGGGGTGGGGGCTAGGGACTCAGAGGACCGTCTTTTGTGTGAACTGTGGGGCGTGAGGAAATGTGGAATTATCAAGGCAGGAAGAAAAGATGTCACAAGATCCCAGTTAACCTGGTTTCCAGGTGGAAAGCGCCCGGCCCTTCTTTGACCCGGAAACAGAGATGATGACTAACCTGCCCGAGGTCGCACCGCCTCGCCAGGGCCTCCCTGGTCACTCTCCCCGGGCCCGGGGCCAGGGCAGAGAAGATGGCCATGGTTCGCCAGTGCCCCCACCCCACAGGGGTCCGGTCCCGGGTACTCACGCGCACACTTGTCCGCAGGCCGAGGGGCCTGGGCGCTCCCATAGAAGCCCTCCTGACAGCGCTCACAGTGGTCTCCGGTGGTGTTGTACAGGCAGCGCAGGCAGCGGCCAGACAGGGGGTCGCAATTGCCCACAGCGTTGGGGTCAATGTTCCTGCTGCACTGGCACCGGCGGCAAGGCTGGGGGACCCCCGAGCGCCCCAGGGGATCCCCAAAAAAGCCATCATCGCACATCTCACAGCGGCGCCCTGGGACAGAGATGGTTGTGTGTGGAGGGAGAAGGGGGGGCTGGCAGTAGAAAATGGGAGGGCGGGTGGCACAATGGCAGGGCGGGGGGCAGGGCCTCAGACAGGATGGATTGAATGGCTTTCTGGCTGCAGTCACGGGCACAAAATGCCAAATCAGAGAATGGGGGGTCCCTGATGCCGAGGGCAGGACTAAGGAGCAGGAGACTGTGGGCTGGAGAATAGGGTTCTAGTTTAATATAGGAATGGAAAACTTTTTTTTTAAAAAGCTACCTGTTTCATGGCAGGTTTTCTGTCTTTACTGTGGATTGGAAGGTTCTGGGGAAGTTGTCAGGTGTTGGGGCTCCTGGTCTTCCTTACATGCTTCCAAGTCACACTTTATACCATAAGCATGGGTAAGAGCCGGTGGGTGCTCGGGCATGGCCACTTGGGGACCCTCGCGATTTGTTTTTTAGGCCCCAGCAGCGTCCAGCGTCCAAAGGTCATAGTTGGATGTACTCAGTAGTCTGAGTTCTGCCAGCAGCCCCACAATAACCCCGGGGGGCGGGGGGCTTGGGCTATGGGACGCAAATTCCCCTAGAGGCCAGGCCATCTGTAAGCAGAACCCACCCAATCTGCCACACCTCAGACACAGGTCCCCCTGTTGCAGCCCAAGGCAGAGTCAGGAGGCCAGGGCTGGGCTGATCCATGGGACAGCATCCCAAGTACAAGCCACTCACCTCTCTGGCCCGGGGGGCAGTGGGTGCACACCACCTCCCCGCTCTCTGGGATGGTGGTGCAGGCTGACTGCCCAGGGCATGGGCAGGGCTGGCAGTCGTTGGCTTGGCCTGCGAAGGGGTTGCCATAGAAACCTGGCAGGCAGCGCTCACAGGAAGGGCCCTCCGTGTGGTGTTGGCACAGGCAGGTCCCTGAGGAGTAAGACAAATGAGTACCTGGGTACCAGTGCCTGAGCCCACCACACCCCAGAGACAGCGGGCAGAGGGAGCGCTTGGTGGGGAGCTCAGGGGCACACCCAGACAGGACTGGGATGCCAACCCTTGCACGTGGAGGTGGGGTGGATGAAAAGCCCAGGGTGGAGGCCAGATCAGCTTCGGTTCACATCCACCACTGACTGAGTGACCCTGGGCCAATTGTCTACCTCTTCTACGTCTCTGTGTGCCCCTACCCTCTTCAAAAAAAAGAGGGAGTTTCAGACTGGACAGAGTTCAAAGAAAGGGCATTCATTCAAAGGGCCTTGCACAGTTAAATTATTACTATGGTATTCCAAAATAATTCATTGAATCCGCAGTCAACACTGTTGGATGGGGGGAAGCTTCTCCAGGATCCATTAGTGATGTCTGACCCGGGCAGGAGCAAGGACGGGGCCCCACCTGTTCACGTGCTCGTCCTGCCTGGTTGGATGAGCCCGATCCCAGGTATGAGCCTTTTCTCGTGGCCCTCAGCTTCAAAGTTGTCCCTGGGGAAAGCTGAGCGGACACTTCTTGGAGACACCACACCTGCTCAAGGAGGGCAATGGTTGAAACCTCTGCTTCGAGCCTCCTGCGAGCTGATGTGAGAAGCCCCGTGGGGTGCGGGCTGGAAAGAGGAGTGTGTGCCAATCTCCTGACTGCAGGACCTTGGATGAAGGCTGAGTTTCAGGTGGGAATCATAGCGGGGAGTACAGACTTGTGGGAGGGAAGCTCTGCCATCTGCTGGCCGTAGAGTGTCTCTGCAGCTTAGTTTCCCCACCTACAGGCTGGGAGTACTTTTGGTCCCTGAGTTTATTGTGCCAACCTGGCCGATAAACACACATGTGGGGTTAATTGAAGGGCTGAGGGATAAATGGCTTGGTGAGCCTCGGGTCTCTTGCTTTCTGATGGTCAGACCAGGGTGCAGCTGCCTTAGCAGTTCCCAGCTTCAGCTTGCAAGGCTGACTTCCTGCAAGTCACCCCCAAGGAGAAGCCGCATGGACCTACCCCGATGCAGCCCTGGGTGCTGGAGCAGCCGTGTGGAGACCCCTGCCTTACATGCTCACTGGCTTACATGCTCACTGACTCGGCTTTCCTCCTGCAGTTGGCATCATAGTGTGTGTTTTGTGAGATGGAGGAGGACTTGGTGGATTGGTGTTGGACATGTGGGTTAATGCTGGACTTGTGGGCTTGGGCAGCACTGGGTTGGGATGTTTAATTGATGCGCACTTAACCGTCATATAAAACTCTCTCTTATACATGAGTTTCTGTGGATTTGTTTCTCCAAAGATTAACACAGTCCCGGAGGGAGAAAGGCAGGGCTTTCTACCCAAGTAGAGTGGCAGTCTTGGAAACCCACAGGGGCATTTCTACCCTGTCCTGTAGGGTCGCTGTGAGTCAGCAGTGTTTTTTTTGGTCCCAGAATGCCCTGGGTGTTTTAGCAGGGTTCAGTGACGGAGTGCATGAGATGGCGACCTTATCTTATTCATGTTGACTTTCATCAGCAGGAGCTCTGGAGGGGTGGTGGACTCCCAGACACAAGGGCCCAGCCTCCGGCACATCTCTGACGACGCCCGGCTTCTGCGCATCAGGCCTTCGGTACCTGACAGGGTTTCAATCCTATGCGTCAGGTTTTCAGCAGCGGCTTCCTCCACAGTGGGGAGCTGGCTCCTTCTACATAGTCTGGTCTCTGTCTGGAAGCTCTGCTGAAACCTGTCTCGATGGTGACCCCGATGGTACCTGAGAAACCAGTGACAAAGCCTCCAGCATCACAGCAACAGACCAGCTACTACAGCGGCACCAACTGTAGTCGCTGGCATGAGTTAGTTGCTGTGGTGGTAGTGGTCTGCAGAGCATATACCCAAACCAGCCTGCATTCTTGACCACTTGGTGGTGTGCATACTGTCGTTAGGCCCACTGTATAACAAGGAAGCAGCTATAGGGGAGACTTCCCCAATGCTATAAGCCACCAAGTGGGGGTGGCAGGTCTCTGGCCTGGTCTGGACCCTTATATTTAAGAACCTTCCTACCATCACCTGCCCTCCCCACTCCCCGCTGCCCGGCAGGCATCCCCTGGCCAGGCCTGCAGGTGGGCAGAGGGAGGAGTCACCGCAGAGAGGTCAGCCCGAGCGGATGTTACTGGCCGCCTTGCTGAACAGGAGGCTAACAGCAGCCAGTTGCTGCGTGAAGATTCCGTGAGCGGCTACGTGTCAAGCTCTTCGTAGCGGGTCTGGAACATGGGCGGGGCCCATCCAGCTTGACCACTGTGCTCTTCACTGGTTTGACAACTCACTTTGTTGACTTTTTAGAGCTTTGAAAATCGGAATGCTAATTATCTCGGGCCATCAGTTCCTAGGAGGATCTGAGATCTTGCACACGAAAGCCTGGGCACTGAGCCTGACAACCAACTTCATCCCAGTTACCACTGTTCTTGAGCCAAGAGCTGCCCAGGCAGTCTCTCCAGGGTGGTCCGGGCCCGGGTTCCCACAGCTCCACTAGCACCCCAGTGCCCGTGCCAGGCGGACCTGGTTCAGGTCGGTACCCAGCTTGCAGTTCTTGGTGTCAGAGCCAGGTGGCCTTGACATGGGGGTGCTGCGGAGGCTCACCTGTGTTGGGGTCACAGGTGCCATGCCGGTTGCAGCTGCAGGGGACACAGTTGGCGTACAGACCCCCCATGGGTGTCTCCCTCTTGTATCCTGGAGCACAAGATTCACAGAACTGGCCCTTGTACCCCTTCGGACACGAGCAAGTCTCCACCCAGGAGACTGGGGGAGAAAGTCCCCTCCTGGCTGACGTGAGCTGGACCTCAGTCAGGACCACGGGGCCTGCAGCGGGGGAAGAGAAAGAGTTAGATGCGCATGCCGGTGCTGCCAGCTTACCTGCTCACGCCGGTACCAGGCAAAGAGCAATTGGCCTATGTGTACAAGGGCAGACTTCGAATCAATTACAATAAAAAAGAAATAAAAACCAATCCAGGGCAAAGGAGACAAATAGATCATTTTTCCAGAACAAGAAACGGATGTGGCCGAGAAGCTTCTTTGTAGAAGATTCTCTCTCCCAGGCAGCCCAAGGTACGGCAATTACAACTATACAGACCCCAGGCACCGGCTCTGCCAGGAAGAGAAATAAGGTTCTGGGTGTGCCACGTGGACGGACCTTGAAAATACTACCCTGAGTGAAGTCGGTCAGTCACAAAGGACCCAGAACGGCGAGGGGCCTGGTCCCACCCAGAAAGAGGAGACGGGCGGGGAGGGTGTGCAGCATTTTGACCTGGGGGTCCCTGCACTGAGAACCTCTCAATCCAGGGAAGATTGCGGCCAGACACCTGGAGCTCCCCAAGGAAGCGGAAAGGGACGAGGACCGTCCCCAGAGTCACAGAGAGGAAGCCGCCCCCAGGAGCCCATGCTCTACAGTGGACTATGCATTGGGCTGTTCACCTCGAGATCAGCGGTTTGAACCCACCGGCTGCTCCTCCAGAGAGAGAAGGGGCTTTTGGCTCCAGTGTAGATTGATAGCCTTGCAAACCCACAGAGACAGGTCTACTCTGTCCCGCGGGTCATTAGGAGTCAGAAGTGACCGATGGCAGTGAGTTGGAGTTTGGAGCCGCTTGTATTGGGAGAGAATAAACATCTGCTTGTTACAGGAAAAAAAAGTATGCTATTACTAAAGTGAAATAGCTGGATTAAGCAAAGGTTGATCTAGGGTTAGGAGGGCAGGTGGGAAGGAGAAGGGGGTGGGAACCCTTGTTTAGATAGCACGGTTTTTGTTTCTGGGGATGGGAAATTTGACAGTGGGTGCTGGTGCTGGTTATACAGCATGATTGATGTGGTTGTATTGAACTGAACACGTGGAAAATGCTGACCTGGGAAACGTTGGGTCCTCTATAATTTTTACAACAACAATCTTTGAAACAAAAAACACGATGATAGCTAGCCTTCACAGCCTGCACGCTGATAAGCATTTTAAAGCTGCGTTACCGTGGAGGGCGAACGGGTGGAGAGTTCACACGCGTGCATGTGTGAATATGAAGCGGGAGTCCTGCTCTCAGCCACGGATGAGCAGTTCCCATGGACGGCAACTGTGAACTTGAGACAGAATCGAAAAACAGCCACTGTCTGCAAAGCTTCGGAAACAACCAGAAGTTGGCAGATAGCGGAGAAGGGGGGACACTTGGGGGGGGTGTCGGGTGGGGGAGCAGCGCTGGGTGTGTTTCTCATTTTTTATGACTTTTAGCCCAAGGCAGGCTCCAGTGTGCACCATGTGGAACAGATAAAACTTAGATAGAAGCTCATCGTCTGGCTGGCCGGATCGAGGAGCCAGACAACATAGGCTAGGGACTCTAGTGGCAAGAAAGTTAGGGAAGGAATTCCAGAGAGGAGAGATCAAGCAATGGGGGGTTCCAAACTCTATATAAACCCTGTTTGTGGCCATTGGAACATGCGGATCCAAGCAAGATGAAATCTTTGCCGCCAGTGTCAGTCTTTTCTCTGTTTATCAGTCAAGACAGCCAAGGGCGCGTTTTCCTTGCGTAAATCCGCTGCACAAGGCCTTGTTAAAGCGTGGAAGAGCCACTCAGGGGTGCCTGACATTTTCACTGGTCTCATCTGCATGTGAAAGTAGGACATTGCGTCAGGAAGCCCGAACAAGAATCGGTGCCTTTGACTCGTGGTGCTGGCAAAGAAGATGGAAAGTAGTGAACCCTCGTTTATCGCGGTGAATCGGTTCTAGACCCTACCGTGATAAATGAAATTCCGCGAAGTAGGATTCCTTATTTGTAAATCAAATATTTTCGTAGTTAGAGCATAGAGGA